AAGGGAAAAAAAAAAAAAAAAAAAAAAAAAAAAGGGGGAGAGAGAGAGAGAGAGAAAATTATAGGAAAACACCGGCTGATATGGTCGGCAAGAACAGATGTGAGATTAACGCCAAAAAACAGACAGGTTTAGCATTTGGGGATTGGTGAGCGCTATCTCTTCACTACTGACGATAAGTGGTTATGAATATGAATGGAAACTAGCTGGACTCTATAATGTTCAAGTACACAGTACGATAAAAGAAGGTCACTTAAGCCAAAAAGATCGCTTATGCACATATATGCTCATTTACTTTATTAGAATTCGTACATTTTATTAATTTAAATTTTTAATTTTAATTTTATATAATTAAAAATTTTCACAAAAATTATATTTAATTTTTTTTATTACAGTTAAAAATTCTCATATAAAATCACATTTTAACTCAAATTAAAAATTTAAATCGACAAACTAAACGAGACTTTAATAACAAAGTAATCGATTGTGAGTGTAAGAAAAGAACAGAATGACAGTTTGGAGTGTACATATTGGAGTGAACTATAGTCTATAGTGTAAATTAACTATTTAGTCGAAAGAAAAGGAAAAGAAAAAGGCAGTACTTCACATTCATTTGAAGGAGGGAACATCTAAAACAAACAAAATCATTCTCCATCTAGCACAGAGAATTGCAATCCGTAAAACTTATTCGGCATTTCCTTTTTACAAGTTAGAATCCGCATAAGATAACAAAGTTCACAATTAGAACTAATTATACCATACTTAAAACATTATGGCTCCTAATTTTGACCTAAAACTGGTAGGTGATTAGTACTATCAAATTCCTGAGCAATGTTATCCTTAATCCTTCCATCCTTCCGTACAACCAAAGTTGCCACAACCCCAACCAACACATAGGACAAGACAGAGTTCTCAAACTGACCAATCATATAATGGCTCAGGACCCACTAGAAAAACACCATCACCATCGTTCATCACGTAAAATTCACAATCTTGATGATTAGCTAGGGGAGAAAATTAAATTAGAAAACGGAAGAAGCAACACTAGGATATAGCATATCACACACTCACACGGTATACACAATTACAAAGCAAGGAAGCACAGCCCTAGGATTGAAAGCCAACAGCTCCTCTTCGTCCATCCTGGTGTGGACCCCACTCCCTCCCCTCCCCAAGACGGAGTCAAACCCGCCATCCTCCTTGTCCGCCTCAAAAGCTTCACTACCGACCCGACCCGCAACGACACGACAAACCAGCATAGCCCTTTTCACGTTCATGAACCCGAACTCTTCCTCGATCTCCTCGGGGATCGCCACGTGGGCCCTCCAGCTGCTCGACAGCGTGGAGATCCCGTCCAGCTTGGGTGAGAACCCGGACTTGATTATCCCGCACACACTGCAGTACTGGTGGTTACAAATAGCGGAATTACCATTAAGCCCCAGGTCGCACAGAAACGTGCAGCAGTGGAATCTCAGGAGCTCGTTGCCATCCGCGATGCACCTCTCGTCCCGCCTCCGAACGGCGCCGTTTCTCGCGGCTTTGGCCTTGACGGTTTCTCTGTACTCCTCGAACCGGGAGAGGATCTTGGAGCTGTTGTGGATCTTCAGAATCCGGTGAATGATCGGACTCTTATGCGTGTCGGTCCAACCCGTTTTGAATATGATCCGGACGATGTTCTTGCCGGAGTCGCCATCGATAAGCTCCGACACGGCGTGCTTGACGGCCTGGTGCTGCTCTAGAGTTTGGGGCTTCTGGAAGATCTCGCCGCAGGCGGTGCAGGGGAAGATATCGTTGCGGAGAGGGAAGAAGAGGCTTTCTTTCTCGGCACTGGAAGAGATGTCGGACTCCGGCCGTGAAGTCTTCCGCGGAACGACGTCGGAGAGGTGCTGATCGGCCGTATTTTCGGGCAGGATCACGAGGGAGGCGATCGAGAGCTGGGAGGACCGGGGAGGAGTGGAAGGGTGTGTTTGGATGCTGGTTTTGCAGGATTTGGAGGCGAAGATTCCTTTGAGGAACGACCAGGATGATGAGATTACCGGAGAGAGCTTCCGTTTCTTCGAGCTACGATTGTTGTTTCCGTGGCCTTCGCGACCGCCGCCGTCTTCTGCGGCGTCGGTGGAGGTGAAAGCGAAGCAGCCGAAGTGAAGGAGGAGGATGAGGAAGAAGGAGATGACCTTGTTGAAGAGCGATGAAGCTTCGCTCGGCGCCATTAATGGCGACGCCGATAGTAGTGTTGATTGAATGAGATCAGAGAAGCTAGGGAAGTTGATAAGGGTGGAATTAGAAGAGAGTGAAGAGATGGAAAAGAAAAGGAATATTGTGAAAAAGGCTACGTAGAAGGTGGGGTGACAATGGAAAGAATGGAAGAAGAGAAGAATAAAGATAGAGAGTAGGTGGTACGCAACTTCTTGGCGATTCTGTTTTTTTTTTTTTTTATGTTTTTTTTTTCTCTCTCTCTATCTATCCCTGTGCGTAGTGCTATGATTATATCTCGCTTCTATTATTATTGTTATTACTATTTAATTTGTTTTTAGGAGATCTTGTTTATTTATTTATTTTGATAAAGGAGGATATGTAAGAGATGAGATTATATCATGAGTTATATATATATATATATATATATATATATCGTGGGAAGTCGATTTACTTCACTTTTTAACCGTAATTACCGGTCTATGTTAAAGTCCTGCTTCTTCTGGCTTTATTCCTCTTGCCGAAGTAATTTAGTTCTAATGTAGCGCGCACACAAATTATTATAGCCATTTGAATTTCCATAGTGATTTTGTGCAAGTAGTATCAATATATATATTTTCTCTAATTTACAGGAGAAAAAAAAATAAAGAAATTAATAAAAAGAAAAAGTCAAGTAAATTGCCTAAATAGTTAAAAGCATGACACTATGATGATTCACCATCTTGTGCTTAATTTGGGTGCACACATGCACGTGAGTTATATATGGGTATCACATGTCTCTGTAGAATAAACTGCAAAAGCTTACTTCTATATATGTGAGGATGTGATGAAGTCAGATCAAATACAGATAATGATATGATTTTCTTAATTCGAATTACGACAATAAGTACTACCGGTGAATCCATTTAAATAATTAATCGTACAGATGAGGTTTGATTTGTTTTAGTGGTTATGGTTACTCCAAAACATATGCACTGGCATATAGAGAGTCGTTTTCCTTTTTCTTCACCCCCTCCCTTTTTTTTTTTTTTGAGTAGTAATAGTGCTCCTGTAATATTAATACTTTGATTCAACTAGTTAAGAACATTTTCATTAGTGTGTGTGGGTTTGTTTTTATTTCTTTTATGGTTGGGGAAAAATAGTTTTTGGAAAAATTTCATTTTGGTATCCTATGCTATATTAAAATATGAGTTTGCTACCCTTTGTTTTTAATAATTTCGTGCCGATACCTCGACATTTTAGAAAATCTTTTTTTGATACCTCATGATAGTTTTTTAGGACACATAAAGACAAAATTGTCCTTATTATTAAATATAAAAAACAGGTTTTTAAAAAATCTTAGACCTGCAACTAAACACTTAAACTTCATTTTGCCCCAAACATAAAGCAAAAATAGTGATTGCATGTTTAAGATTTTTTTTAAAAGGTTTTTTATATATTTAATAATAAATGTAATTTTGTCTTTTCGTGTCCTAAAAAATACTCTGAGATACTAATATAAGATTTTTTTTAAAGGTTGAGGTACTAATATGAAATTATTAAAAATAAAAGATACCAAACTCATATTTCGATATAACACAAGATACCAAAATGAAATTTTCTCAATAGGTTATTTACTACATATCTACTTAAATTATTATACATGTAGGTGCGAAGATGATGACACTTAGTGGATACTAGATAATATTAAAACACATCTTGTTGTCATGAATACAAGTAGACAAATAAATTACACATTGAAAATCCTTGACAACTAATTGGGAAGTAACTGTAACGCCCTCCGGAATTAAACTTGTTTAATTATGATAATTGTGGTTTATTAGTGTGCCTAAATTGATTTCTTAATTAATCATGAACTTTTAAATTTATTTTAGAATTTGTAATTTCACCCCTACTTATTTTATTTATTTTTCATAATTCTCTTTTTCCTTCTATTTCTCCTTTTCCTTTTTCCTTATTTCCTTTTTCCTTTCCCTTCCTCACGTTACTCTCTCTCTCTCTCTGTCTCGACACTCTCTCTCTCCTTCCCTCTCTCAATCTCCTGAGCTCTCTCCCATACTCTCTCTCTTTCTCTCTCTCTCCCTCTCCCGTTCATCTCTCCCTCTCTCTCTCAAAGTTTTCTTTCTCAAGGGCCGGATTTAAACCAAAAACGGAGGTTTCTAAGAGATTTTCAACATCAAAGCTTGGATCGAGGTAAAACTCTTTGAAACTCACTTTAGATTTTCAGATTTAGCCTTGTGGAACTCGTTTTAGTCGAGTTTGGTGATTTTTAGTTTAAATTTTGTTTTCAAATGGAATCTGAATGGGATTTGGTGAAACCTTGATGAAAATTAGGGGTTTTTGATTCTTTGGACCCTATTTGTTGATTTGAAACTGGATCTATACATTTCCCTTGAGAATATGTCGAAATCGGACCCAAAATTGCAGGTTTTGGCTTTGTTCCTCGCGAATCGGCCATTGTTGGCCCTGGAATTTTTCCCCACCGGTTGACCGGTCCAGTCAACCGGTCACCCTTCCATAGGTCGACCGATCCGGTCGACCGATCACCTCTCCACCGGCTGACCAGTGGAGTTACACTTCTCTGTCACCGGTCGACCAGTTCCCACTGAAACTGACCCTAAACAGCCCAGAAAACCTTATTTTGACCCCGAAACCCGATGTGGGATTGACCTAACCTCATTTGAGAACTCAAAATGAGTGGATTAGCCACATGAATCCTTATTTTCCATTCGATTCTCCGGAATGAATCTCTATCTACAAAGAATCATGATTTGAATTAAGAATTATTTATGAACATTGATTTTGAACTATGGCACACTAATATGATACAATTGTACCTAATTAAACGAGAATGTTTGGTGAGAAAGATTAAACTCTAAATTGTTGATTTTGATGGGAAAGTTAGTGGCATGATTGGAATGGGAGCCTCAAAGGCAAGCGGAGCTAGGGCTACGTGAAGCCAGCCACAGGTTTGATATCCAACAGGTAGGATATTCTTGTCCATATCCTTGTTAGCCTCATTTTAAATTATTTTGGCCAATGCAAATGTTTTAGAACAAAACATGTTTAAAGAAAATGATTTTAAAGAAATGGCACGTGAATGCTATTAAGTTTTCCAATGATTTTGGAAATGAGATTTTAAAGAGTATCATTTCTTAAAATGAAATATTTAAGGAATGATACAACGCATGGTGACCACAGAGATCGGGATGTGGGAATCGCATCCTTGGGGGCAGGTCCTGAAACCTGTACGGATCCACTTCTTGTTTAGTGGAATTATGGCTATGCACTTTTCATTAGACAGACATTTTTACCGCTTCTTGTTTAGTGGTATGATGAGCTGCACACTTTCATTATACATATATTTTCTACTGTGAGTATTTCCTTTTCTAAAAAGGGATGACCGGTTCCGGGTGTATATATTCGGACCGTGAGTACCTTTATTTTAAATGCTTTATAAAATTATATCCTACTGGGCATTTCGCTCACCTTTCTTGCTTTCAAATGTATAAAACCCCTCCAGGCGACGCGAGGAGTAGTGCGGAGTAGGTAGCTACTACCGGTGACGTGGACTTGACCTCGGGAAGCAAAGAGTTGTATCCCTCTTATCTTTATCTCAAGGCATGTATAAAAGAATATGGATTGTAAACTTAAATATTACTAGACTGTGGTTGATGTCACATTTACTCTTGTTTATATTCATGTATGCTAAACACCTGTAGGAATTCCTGACATGATACTAGGGACGTGGTTTTAAACTGGTTTGGTTGGAAATTCCACCACCGTTTTTGAAATTGAATTCCTCTTGAATAAAAAGGGGGGGCTCATTTGGAAATACCTGGACGTTTTAGATTTGAAACAAATTAAATTATTTACAACGTTATTTGCTAATCACTCTCTCAAACAGGTTTAGTTTCTAAATGAGCCTCTACGTCACTAACCCCGGTTTGGGGGCGTGACAGTAACTCGATCATGTTGCCATGTGGAAAAGAGTTCTTAATAACTCTTGGGAAATAAGGAAAAAAAATTCAAATTCCTAGAACATGACGTGGACATGCAGGTCATGCGCACGTGCGAGTTTCCTCCATTTAAGGTAGCCGACCAATCTCATTTACAGAAATTTATAGCACATAATTTATTGAAGTTGCTAAACTCTCAACTCTCAAGAGCGTACTAATTAAATTCTTTATTAAATGGTTTGCTACTAATTAACTGTGTATTGGAGTCGAACATGGTTTGCCATTTCTCAAGGAGAGAATCCAAAGCATGCATGCGCTAGCTCCTAAGAACACTGCGACAATATTTCAGTTTTTGTCTTTGTTTTATGCTTCGGAACAGTATGTTTTTGAAACACACGTCATATGAATTTTGTCTAATTCCTCATCTCTCTATGTTAAAAAACGCTTTCTCAAATTCAGTGAAGTCCGTCGCTATAAAGCTCTCGGTGCGTTTAATTAAAAGGACGTTGCAGTTTGCATGGAAGAAACAATGGTGTTTAGTATGAAGATTCGTGTCATGGTTTGTGGCTCGTTACAATATTTTTTTTTCAAAAAAACACACCTAAATCGTAAATGATTCTGAATAATGGTTCTGAATCCGTAAACCAAATGTAATTTCGTCCGCATCTAAAAGTGTAAAAGAGTGGAACCAACCACTTCAAGTTCATTGTCGACTTCTAGTTTCATTAGCAAAAAACTAAATTGTAGACTTGCAGTTTATGCTCAAAAAATAATATTTTAACTTTGTCCTTATCCAATATAAGACTCCAAGAGTTTCGTCCGTATATCGTCAGATTACTATATTTCTAAAGACTTGATATTCTTATATATACGCGCTTTTATGGATAATTTTTTAGTAATATATAATACAAACGTCAAATTTATATCTTTATATTGAGGTGTATAGTTCCAATCCTTTCATATCTAATTTTTATTTTAGATTATTCGTTAAGTCGTATTAGATGTATTATTTTCTTGGACTTAATTTTAGTATATATTCTTCGATTCTTTTATTAGAAAAACAAACACTTCAGAGTAGATAATATATGTAGACAATATTGGAAAAATAGGTAAGAAGCTATTGATTGCAATAAGGATGATGCTCATTACTATTTCTTCAACAGCTTTATCAAAAATGCATGACAATTATAAAAGAAGCTAATGGAGGGGAAAGAAAAACAAAGATAATTAACAGTCATTTGATTTGATTTTTGCTTTATGAAACTGGCATATATAATTGGCCCCGTTTATTTCACCAATTTGAATTTAGAAT